TATTATTATTATTATTAATGATAAATATGTGTGAAAAACGCGTGTTTCCGCTTTGTTTTCAAGTCTATATATGATAATACATATAATACGTATACATGCATAGCCTAGGCCTATATATTACATATTATATATTGTATCATATACCGTATAGACCTGCTGTATATCTATTAGCATAGGCATAACAATTATATTTAGGCCTATGTCAGTGATATAACGGTGGGTGGGAGGGGGGTAAGTTAAGTAGTAGTTAAATTGTAAAATGTTTTATACTTTCTGTAGAAAAATATATACACTCAGACATAATACATTCATACAGCCACCCACACCCTATATATAAATACCTTAGTACATGGTACTCAGTACCACTTTCTCTGCATTACTAAGCCAGACTTACTAACACTTACTATAACCAATAAAATTTAAATTATTTCTTAACTTGGCTACCATTTACCTGGTCGTCAATAATAATGAAACTATAAATGTTGTATTGCGTTATGGCTGTCGTCCTCACACCACTACAATGTTCTGTATTATGTATATGATGTGGGGCGTAACAATTACAATACAGCATTCACAAAATCAATTCTAGCAAATAATATAGAGGCTATAACGAAAAAATAGGGTAGTTTACTGAAAAAAAACTTGAAGTGAGTTGAAAACATTGAAGTGAGTTGAAAGCAAAGATGCTTGAAGATGCATTGTCCCATACAAAATAACCTAATAAATTATTTTTGAAATTAACTTGCCCATTTTGAAGTGACATAAAAATCATCAACATAAACATAAAAATTACAGGTACTGTATTTAATAAATGTTTACCCATCATTTTACAGCGAAAAATGATAGAAAAACTTTCAGTCACTGGAAGTTATTAAAACTCAGGGTACACATTTTTAAAATTTAATATTTTTTATATGCTCAAGTTAATAATTTGTGTTACCTTAAAATGAGCAAGTTAGTTTTACGGATTCAAGGGTGGGGGAGGGGAAGAAAGAAAAAAAAAGAACATTAGGCCTATATTCAAATTTTAAGTACCATTTCCGGCCATCTTAGAATAGAGGTGCCATAATAATATTTGTTTTTACCTCAGCTTCAACCATGGTGGGGCTCAAGTACTATAGACCCTCCAACTATGAAAGTCCTTCATCATTGCCACATTTGCCCCACCCCGTATTTAAAATTCCTGGATCTGCCACTGCTTATTATACAGCTATTGCTGAAATCGTAGGCCTACTATATGTATTTCTGTAATATTAAGTGAGATACCATTTCATAATCCAATAGTCAGACAAGTTCAGTAGGCAAATAATGTATCTTGGCATTTGGTAATTCCAAAAATAATACCTATTTATATTAGTTTAATCAGCTTATGTAGTACGTATACGAACCTGGGGTCTACGGCACATACCTCTTCAAGTTACAGGCTCATGACGTTATAGACTGGCTTGCGCATATACCATGTAGCTATTTATAGCTACATGGAAAATACATTCTCAGCAGTACACATCAGATAGCTCGGAGTTACATCACTGCATGCGAGATGTATGGCGTAACAACTGTGTCATTCCACGAGTAC